AAAAGAAAAGACTCCCGTTCATACCTGCCTTTGGTATTCGCTGTTACAGAGACTTTGTGGCTCTTAGGAACCAGAACCTATAGCAAAAACTTCTGCTGAGGAGTTTCCCAACTCCATCTTGCTCAAGTGGATTCTACTGTTTGCCTTGCCTCTAAAAGCTTCTATTTGCTATCCCTTCCTTCCTGTAATGTGTACAATCTGTATGATAAAACCCTGCTACTCCAGAAAAAAGTTCTATGGGGCGTTCCTTAGAAAGCACCCCTCTGTTTGTGCTTTATGACAGTAATAAACAAGATATATGCTTTAATAGATGGAGCTTTTCTGACTGATTCCAAGAGACTTGAGTTTGGGTAACGAGGTCATTGAGACCTAGTCCTCTCTATGGTTGTAATTATGAGCATTTGGGGGCTGTTTCTTAATTAGAGATAGCCCTATTCTGTTGAGATCATAAAACATCAAGTCCCTTTTGTGTCCCTGCAAGGGGTTGAGAGTCTTTTATCACCACCTATTAGGATGCTTCATGCTCATTTTGTTTGTTGCATGGAGGTATGTATGTGTGGGGGGTGTGGGTATGTTTTTGTGTATGGGTGGGCATACACATGCGCAGATGTGCACACATGAGTGTGTATATGTGTGTGCTTGGGTGTGGAGGCCAGAGGATAAACACTGGTGTTGTTCCTCAGACCTTGTCTACTGTTTGGTTTCAGGTAGGGTATTGCTAAGAAGGCCTGGAGCTTGCCAAGTAGGCTTAGTATTGGTGCCTACTGAGTCCCAGGTACAACCTATTTCCAATCTTAGGGACTTAGCTTCTTTGTGGCCCTCAGAGAGCTCAGGCCTTGAATCCAGTGGCTCTTGAAGTACCATGTCCATCTTTCGACTTCTGAAATAATAGGAAATGAAAAGGAAAATAGACAAGTGATACTTTTTGTTGTTGTTGTTTTTGTTTTTTTGAGACAGGGTTTCTCTGTAGTTTTGGAACCTATCCTGGAACTAGCACTTGCAGACCAGGCTAGCCTCAAACTCACAGAGATCTGCCTGATTCTGTCTCCTGAGTGCTGGGATTAAAGGTGTGCGCCACCACCACCCGGCTCGGGTCAGTGTGGACCCTGGCTCCTGAATACATTATCTGACTCATGAAAGGGGCTTCCTGCATGTATCTGTCAAGTGGATTTGTTGTTAAAGACAATGAGCATCTGTCTTCTTTCCTGTAATAAAATGTCTGCCATAAGGTAATTTACAAAAATAGAAATGTATTCCATTCCCAGTTTTGGAGTCTAGGAACTTCCAGAGCTCGGCACCAGCAGCTGGTAAGGTCCTTGCTGCATTATAGCATACTATAAGGCATTAAATAGTGAAATGGAGCAAGAATGCCAGCTCAGAAATCATTTCCTCTTCTCATAAAGCCACTGATAGAATTTAAGATTACGTCTCCAGCCAGCATACAAACACATAGAACACAGTCAAAACCACAGTGAGTTTTCAAGGAGGACCGTTATACAATTAGTGCAATAATCCACTAAAAATATCCTCAGAGGAGCATAACTGTGCCACATTTTATTACAGGAACCCTACAGGTCAACAGGTCAACAGGTCAAGAGGTCACAGGTCTGAGAGCCTGGTGACAGCCATAAGCTGCAGCGCCTTCTGGCCGTCACCACTGCTGCCTCCTGGCCACTCTGTTTTCACAACTGATCCTTGTGTGCTGCTCTCTTCACCTAAATGCACCCCTAAACAAGAGTCTTCTTGCTTCAATATCATCTTTTATTTCTAAACTAATCACTGTCCTGGAGGTTGGGATCCTGGTGACAACTTGAGCTAACCAGGTGCCGTACCTGAGAGTAGGCGAGGAACAGCCTCAGAAATCCAACAGGAGAGGAACAGCCCCAGCAATCATGGCTACAGTGTTTCCTTGGTGAAATATCTCAGTATTTGTTAACAACTCTGGACTTTTCTGTGTGTGTGTATGTGTGTGTGTGTGTGTGTGTGCGCTTCCGGTAGCTTCCTCTCTCACTTGCCACTGTGTTGGTATTTGTTGACAACTTTGGATGTCTCTCACTCTGTTTCTCTCTCTCTCTCTCTCTCTCTCTCTCTCTCTCTCTCTCTCTTTCTCTCTCTCTCTCTCTCTCTCTCTCTCTCTCTGTGTGTGTGTGTGTTTTCAGTATCTTCCAGTATTTTTTGAGATAGGATCTCTCACTGGACCCAGTGCTTAGAATCTGATTGACTGACTAGCAAGCCCCCAAATCCTGGCTTTGCATCACCTCTAGATTTTATGTAGGTTCTGGGGATCTGAACTCGGGCCCTCATGCTTGTGCAGCAAGCACCTGACTTACTGAGCCATCTTCCTAGCTCCATAAGTGTGTGTTTTTGTCTTAGCAGATTGTGTATATTAATAGGTTTTCTGTAGATCGACAATCAGTTTCTCTGTCAGTGCAGTAAGTCAGATCAAGCTGAATTAAAAAGTAAAAGACCAGGTTTATCCTGGGCAAAGCAGCTCTCGAATGACTCCTCCAGCCCCTAGAGTTCGAGGTGGGAGAAGAGGCAGGAAAAATCACATGATTGATCTAAGGGAGGGAACTTAAATACCCTATGGGTAAGAGCGGTGTGTGTGTGTGTGTGTGTGTGTGTGTGTGTGTGTGTGTGTGTGTGCGTGCGCGCGTGAGAGAGAGAGAGAGAGAGAGAAATGGAAGCCTTCATAAGTGCAAGCTGGAAGTCTCAGCAGAACATATATCTGTGCTTATTTGATCATATTTCTCCTTAAGCTTCCTGTTTGTTCCTTTCCAGCCCTTCCCACCTTACCCCTACTCCCTAACCTCAGCCCTGCTTCCAGAAGATGTACTCTTCCTGGCCACAGTCACATCATTTCTCCCAGCGTCATTGTACAAAGCTTTCTGCCTCCTTCCAGCCCCGGAAGTGAGCTCATCTTTTCAGAACCAACTCAAGGTCATTGCTAGACCACAGGCTTAGACAACAACCACAGCACTCTCCAGGAGGAAGCCACAGCCCAACCAACTTGATGGGTACTGAAAATGAGTAAAATCTGTGTATCTCTTTGTGTGAAGACCCAGCATCTTCCAGTGTGTGAGGATTCTTCTGTTTCCATGCATGTATCAGAGCTTCTGAGGATGGTCGTAATCCACCTGTGCTCTTAGAGCATAGCATTTGGTGAACGCTCAAGCAAGCAAGGGAAGAAGATAGGAGGAAAGAAAGGGAAGCGCGACGGAGAAACAGGAGCCCACTGCAGGGCCCAAGCACCTTGTGAGGGTTCCCTACCAAGTTTTTGTCTCTGGTATTTTCTGCCTCTTCCTTCCTTTTCTTTCTGTCCTCCATCTTTCTTCCTGCTACCTGTGAGGAATTTGTCACCTAAAAGATTTCTTTTCCTTTGAATGAACTCAAAGCTAAAATTGAACCGTCGTACTTAGAACACTGTCCCACCACCCCATAGAGTTCTCAGGCTAACCCGAGGCTTAGGGTGGTTAATCTTTGTTAACACAGGGCACTTCAACTCTCTTTCCATCCTTAGTCATCCATCCATTCATTCATCGTGTGTGTGTGTGTGTGTGTGTGTGTGTGTGTGTGTGTGGTGTGCTGGAAGCTGGGGGTATGGTTGCAGAAGCAGTGTTTACTAGAAGACAGATGGCTGCTTTGCTTGCTGATCTGGAGTTTACGGCCATTTAGATTTGTGTGAGCGGGTGGTTCAGTTCATAATGGAGACGGAACATTCACACAATAATAGTGTGTGTACTGTGAGTCAAACCCCGGACCTCATGAATGCTGAGTGTATACGGTCCTGCTGGCCTATCTCCCAAACCCTGGACCAGGTTTTGATTCCTGCTGCTTTCAAGGAGAAGGGATTAATGTAGGGAGTGGTAGGGGGCTGGATTGGAGGTGTCATCTGAAGCTAAAGTGTAGAAGGAACTAGACAAAGGGTGCAGGTGAAGCAAGAGCATGCTGTGAAACCAGGGTTTAAAGTTGGCATTAGTGCTTATATGATCTCAAGAAACATGTGAGTTGCCAAGATAGACAACAAAATGTTTCTTATCGTGTGGGCTTTTAAATTTCGTATCTGAAGGTGTTTTTCCCACCAGCCCAACACTTGGACCACTGGGGACATTCAAACCACATCCAAACCATAACAGCCAGGTTCTTCTGGGTCACTACCTTGGAACTTGGATATTTGAGAAATAGACAGTTCCCATGCACCCCTCACCTGGTAACATCTTACACAGCACTCTATTTGCCAAAAATAATAACAGCATGGCCATGTTACCATCAGTTAAACTCTAGACTCCCTTGGTACTATCTTAAGTTTCCACACAGGTGTTCTGGTCCCATCCCAGGGTTCCCTTCAGGACGTCAGGTTGTGTGTGTTGTCAGATTCCCTTAGTGTGTTCTTATCTGTGCCATTTCTCTCTCTCTCTCTCTCTCTCTCTCTCTCTCTCTCTCTCTCTCTCTCTCTCTCTCTCTCTCCATGGAGAAAATTCATCAGATATTGGTTTATATTGCTATGATAAACACCATCATGAAAAGAAACTTGACAAGGAAGGGTGTGTTAGGTAATCAGAGTCTATCATGATGTAAAGGCAGGACAATAACTCAAGGCAGGAACCTGGAAGCAAGAACTGAAGCAGAGGGCACGGAGAAATTCTGCTTCCTGGCTTGCTCTCTGTTTCTTGCCAGCTCGCTATCTTATACAACCCAGGGCTGCCTGCCCATGGGTGGCGCCACTCACAGCAGAGTTCTAAGAGCCTTCTTACTGACAAGGACTCTTTGTAGGCAGAGCAAGGCATCATAGTCATTGAGAATGCTTCCTTATCCCTTGCCTGGCAACCTCCTCCCTACCTTCTAGGAGGTAGCCACTGCTTTGTTATCTCTACTTCCTGTTACAGATTGGTTTTGTCTATTTTTAGAATTTAATATAACCAGCATCACACAGTTTGCTCACTCAACTTTTTATGGCATATTTTAATTCTAATGATTCAATCCTATAACACATGGAATGAAATGAACGAACTATGGATACAACAATCACTGGAGGCAGCTCTCATTGGCCATGCTGAATGGCAGAAGCCAGACACAAAAGAACCAACACGTGTGTATAATTCAATCTCCTCAATAGTCAAAAGAAGTACACAGTAGTTTATAGAGTGAAAGCTAGGACAGCAGCCAGCCCTGGTCAGGAGAAAGGAAGTAGAGACTGACAGGGAAACTGAGAGCACTTTCTGTATGCTGGCTTGGGAACGCCTCCCCCTCCCTCTGCCCCTTGACTTGACTGGGGTTTCTACAGGGAAATCTACTTTGCACTAAATTCCTGAGATATAGCCCATGACTCTGTTCTTGATACATTATGTATAATTATAGTGTTTTAAAAATAAGATGCTAGAAATGAAAAAAGTAAGATTCATGTTCCTGCCCACCAGCATTGTATGCATGCATGACAATAATGTATTCCCTTGTTATTTGTTGATAAGTAGGAAGTTACTCCAAAGGGTAGCAGGTTGCATAGCAATACATACTGTCTTAGACCATGTCTGGGCTTTGGAGTTTCTGATCTGGGCAGTCAGGGTTCAGTCTCCTGCAAGACAACATTTTGGCTGTTGTCTAAGCCTTCATCAGAACTGGGAGACCCACTTGTAAGATGGCCCATTGAACATGGTTGTGGGAGAGAGATTGCAGCTCTTATCCTGTGCATCTCTTCAAAAGGCTGCCCAAGGACCTTCATATCATGATAGCTGGCATTCTCTAGAGAAGAGATTTGAGAGAGCTCAGTATAATGGTGTTTATATTGATTGATATATGTCATTTATACATCTCAACACTACATTCCTTTTTATTTCTAATTTGCCATTCATGAAAAAAAAATCACAGTTATTTATCTGTTCTCCTATTGGTGGATACCTGAGCTGTCTGAGCTTGGAGCTTTTCGCATTAAGCTGGTATGAACAACTTCCTATAAGGATTATTGTGAACACGTGATTCCATTTCTGTGGGGTGAAAACCCAGCCCTGTCACCATTGGGCTAAAGGACGGGTATATGTTTAGTTTTTATCAAACCTGGTCGGTCATTTCTAAAAGTCTTACACTACTTTACACTTCCACAGAAGGATAGGAGAGCATTATAGCCTCATGTCACTCACCGGCAACTGACATCATCACTTAGACAACGCTAGCTGTTCAGACGGCCGCACACTGGCATTGCGTAAGGGCTTTAGTTTGTTTTCTCATGATGCCTGTTGGTGTTGAAATTCTCTTCTGTGTGTGCTGGTCATTTGTATATCCTTTGATATGAAGCATCTGTTCAGACCTCTTGGTGTGTGTGTCTGTGGAATTTTACCCCACTTAGGTGCACAACATCAAAAGTAACTCCTTTGCGTTTTTCCTGTAGAATCAACCTCTTTTTGCAGCCCCAACCTCTGGCAGCCACTGAGGTGTTATCCATTTCCATAACTTTCGTCATTTTGAGAGTGTTATAAAATGGTGCTTGTACAGGATTAACCTTTTTGAGATGGGCTCTTTTACACTTGCCTTTGAGAGCCATCTAAATTGGTGTTCATGTTGTATCACTGTATGGATACGCACAAGGGCTTATCTACTCCCCACGTGGGGGACATTGGGTTGTTTGTCTTAGTGTTTTTCCCATATGCAGAATGTTTTATAATCAGCTTTTTTAGTTAGCATAGATAATTTTGTTATGGCATTTTCATATGTATACATTATTGTCCCTTGCTTGTATTTACCTCTTGCTACCCTCCTTCACCCCGTCACTGGCTCACCAATGTCCCAAGTGCCCCATCCCTCCACATAGAGTTAAACCTAGATTCTGTGGTTGTAAGTGTGTGCCCAGTTTTTGATGGCTGCACATAACTGTTGTAAACATTTGTGTATAGTTTTGTTGTTGTTTGATTAACAAACGGATTCTCTTCTCTTAGGTGGATACTTAGGAGTGGAATCACAGGTTGTATGTGAATTACATGTTTGATGTCACAAGAAACTGTCAAACTTTTCCAAGTGGCTGTACCATTTCACAGTCCCAGCACCAGCAGTGAGATATCTGGTGACTTGGCATCCTTGCTAACGCTTGGCCAGGTCTATTTTTAATCTTAAACGTTCTTATGGACGTGTGTGATTTGGCTCTGTTTTCACTTAGAACCTTGTGCCTTGGTCCTGGCTTATGAACCATGCTTTCTAGAGAGATCTCTCATTCTGAGAGTTCATTACTGCCTCTACAATCCCCCCTTCCCAGCAGCTCCTCGATCAGAACAGGTGGAACCTAGTATCTTTGACGTTTCTTCCTGCTGGTTGCCTGCCGTAATGCAGAGAACTTTCAAGTGTGTCCTTGGCGATTGGTTGTAGTCTTTTTTCAAGAACAATTTCACACAGAACACCGGTAGTTGAGTCAGATGGTGAGCGAACTTCTGAGGTTACAGCCGGACCCTCTCTACATGGCTGATCCTAGATGTCCTTAAGCATGCCAGGCCTGGTTCCTGATTGTGGCACAAATGCCATTGACTCTTAGATTTAAAACATCTCTTGGTTCTGTGGAACTCCTGTAGGTGGAGTGAGACAGGGGAGTAGTACCTGTCACATCTCCCTATTTTACAGACTCAGGAAAACAGAACAGGTATCATAGCTGTGAAAATACCAAGCAAACTATTAGGTGTGACTTATACTCTTGCTATGCAACAGTCCTTGAAGTAACCAACAAAGATCTTTAAACGAGGAAAATACACCGTCAAACCTGTGCTCAGAGCTTAGAGCTTCAGAGTGCCTGTGATTGTCTCCACAACTGCTTTACCAGCTACGTAGCTTCCATTTCTTGCTTCAGAGATGGCCACTTAGGTGGGCGATTATGAAGAACCAATGTTCATGTTTCTAGGTGTTCCCTAATGCTTTTCCATCCTGGTTTGATTTCTTTGATAACTTTAAGCTGGCCCTGGTGACAGTTCAAGTGACGAACAAGTTCCATCTAGTGGTTGTTTTAAGTATATGCTTTGAAATGCGTGTTATGGGCCAATGAGAGGGCTCACATTTACTGCTAAACCTGATGACCTTGGGTTGGAGCCTCAGAACCCACGTGGTACAAGGAGAGAACTGGTTCCTGGAGGTTGTTTTCTGACCTCCTCATGTATGATGCCAGGTTTGGTTTCCAAAGTCAGGACTGATTGCTGGAGGGATTCAAGCTGGAGAAGTGACACGAGGCCTGGCATCTCCGGAGGCCTGGCGCTAGGCTTCTGCAGCCACCGTAACCCCGTTTCCAGCCTCTGTGAGTGGAAATGGTAAATACAGCATAGGCCTGGGAGACTGGCACCCCCAGATTCACGGAGGCAAGCATTATAGCTCTCGGGCAACTGATATTAGGTATTTCAGGTTGGGGTGTCTGAGACCTTGGTCCTTACAGCTTGGAAGGTCCTGAGACCTCGTCCAGCAACTGGGACCCACAGGTTTTCTTCTCTGGCTTGTCACAAAGTCTCTTGATTGTCACATGAGGCTCTTTGCCTTATCTTTCTTCTCTGTTTCCACTGTCCTCATCATTTCTACCCCAGATGCTCTTTGGAACTGCCTGACTGCCCTTTGTCACTGCGGCTACTGATGGCTATTCCTTTTCTAGTTGCTGTCATCCCTCTGCACATGGTTCTGTTGCCTTCCCTTCCTGTTACCAGCGCAGCTCACTCTACTAAGGTCAAAGATCAAAGTCAGGTGAGAAGAGACCACTGAACTGGAGGGGCCCAGAGAGTGTTCAGGGTGAAGTGCTTTATCTGATGCAGGATATATGCAACTGTAAACTCATCTCAAGAATAAACCCCAAGGAGCTTAGTGGTTAAGAGCACTTGTTGCTCTTCCAGAGGACCATGTTCAGATCTCAGCACTCACACCTCACAGCTCACAGTTACCTATAACTCCTTGGAAGAGATCCGACACCCTCTTTTGACATCCCTGGACACTTACATACATGCCCCACATAAGACACACACTCCTTTTTTTTTTAAATAAATGATCCTGATCTTGATGTAATCTTGATGAGCTTGTAATCTCAGCACTTGGGGGAGTGAGGCAGGAGAATTGCCATGATTTATATGGGTCAGCCTAGTCTATATTATGAATTCTACTTTAGCCCAGGCTAAAGAATGAGATTCTGATTCAAACCAAAGACAATCAAACCAACCAAACAAAACTTCCCAAACGAAATAAACAAATAAAAAAGAGTGAACCTTCTGTAAGCTGTGGACTTGAGGCTTTAGTGCAGGTTAATTGGTCGTAACTAACATCCCACTCTGGGAGGTGAATAATAATAATAATAATAGTATAGGATGCTATGCATTTGCACAGGCAGAAAGTATATGAGAAATCTCTGTACCTTCTGTTTAATTTTGCAGTGAACCTACACTGCCTTAGGAAGGTCCATAAAAAAACCAAACCCAAACAAAAAAACCTTAATGAAAACTAGCCTGTCACTGTCTATCATACTCATTTCTGTTTCCACCCATTCAGACATTCTCTTTCTGTAGGTCCCAGCCTTGTGTGTGTGTTAAAATTTCTTCTCTGTTGAGAGAACTACCTTTAACTGTCACATCCTTTCTGTCTCTCTATCTCTGCCTCCTTTCTCTGTCTCTCGCTGTCTCCCCACCCCCACCCCCTGTGCTGGAGTCGGGATCTGGGGCCTTGTAGACAGCAGGCAAGCCCTGTGTCACAAGCCACATCTCTCTTTCGTCATGTGAAGGATGACTGTGAGAATGTCTTCATTGTTTCCCTTCATACGTGAAAGGCAGTTTCATTGGATGTAAGACTTGCTCTGGTCATTCTTTTGTTCCTGAGCTAAGAAAAGCAAATAAGCAAATAGACAAGCAACCTGGAGCCTCTCCTCCTTCAGGTCTCTGCGGCTTCAAAGGAGAGATTTGTTGCTACCCTGTGGGTCTTCCCCCTTTGCATTGGTTTTCTCAAGTTGTCTTCTTAATTTTTGCTATAATATATCAGTGTCTGATTCATCTTGGTATTGCCATGATACCATCTGAGATAGAGGCTAATATCAACCATGGATGAGGCTCTTCTAGGCTTCTGTTGTGATTTGCATGGAAATATTAGAGGACACAGAGGAACCTCTCCTCCTAGGCTTAGGCTTGTTGAGAAATAGACGCCAAGACAGAGCTAGACATGCCAGAGACTTGATGGAGGAAAATACCTGTGAAGGACAAAAGTATCGAGGGATTGGTGAAGATGCTGCCAAAATACAGGAAGGCGGGATGGACCCTGTGGTAGGAGACAGGCAGGGAGAGTGCTTCTTGAACAGTCCCCGACACAGCATAGCCCAAGCCTCTGTCACAGTTACACAGAATGCAGGTGGGATAGAAGGGCAGAAATTCCTTACTGGGCAAGGGTGGTTTTGATGCCACTAGGTCAAGGTCAGTCATCTGCCCGGACAGCCAAACAGGAGAGGAACTTCCCAGTGACTCTAACTCCATTCAGAAGCAGAGCAGCGGAGTCAGGGATTCACAGTTTGACTCTGAATAATCCTCCCCACATTACCAAAGTCCTCTCCTTATGCCAACAGGTTCTACTCTCTGTCCCTGTCTCCACAGATCCTGCCCTTGGGTCATCCCAGACTATGAAAGTGGCTACAATCTTTAAAGCTCTGTAGAGACGGAGTGGTGGCGGCCTCATTTTAACTGGATCTTATCAGGAAACCCTCCCCTTTCTCCTTCCAGCTGACCTCAGGTGTTGCTACATATGCAGGGCCAAAGCATCTGTTCTCTCAGAGCTCTGGATTTGGTTCTGGCAACTTACAGAGTCAATGTCCTAATCCCCACGTGCTATCTGTTCTGTGCAGGTACGGTTTAAGTCTGGATGAAATGAGAGCTTTGACAAATCAGCGAGTGAAGTTTGTCCTAAGTCTCCCTCTGTTAAAGCGTGTATTCCAGGAACAGGTAAGTGACATCGTTATTTCTGCAGGAATGTGTGTGTGTGTGTGTGTGTGTGTGTGTGTGTGTGTGTGTGTGAATATTTATCTGTTTCTGTAATGTGTACCTGTAAGAAAGCAAGACATGTGTTATTTGCTTTTGTGACTTGTGTAAGCTCACGGCCTGAACACTAACAAAGCCATCACAAAGCAGAGTATATTCCACATCCCCCTTTCTGCTTCAAGCCCCAAACTGGGTCAGCTTTCCTGGACTCCATATTTACTGTTAGGTATAATCTTAAAAACAGCCTCTTTGCTGATGCAAATAATTCCAATCAGACCAAATAAAAAATGCCCACGTTTAATAAATGCAGCGCTCCTGGGTGGCCAGGAGAGCATGGTGAGGAGAAGGGGTGGGGTGGGGACTGCTAGGGGTTATGGGGGTGGACAGGGCACAGGGTGGAGGGAGAGAGAGACATCACACAAAACCAGAGACCTGTTCTTTTCCTAGGCGGTGGCTTAAATAACGCGTGGGAGTGATCCTGACCCTCCCTGGGAAGGGGTCAGTGCTTGGCAGGCTTTCTGGAGGTGGAGTCCGTACCAAGGCAATCCCCAGAGAGAGGGGCCTTAGGATGGATGCCAGGGACTGGGGTGACGCTTCAAATCATTTACTCCTCCCAGACTAGAGAAGAAAAGATCCACAGAAGTAACAAAATGTCCAATTATAAAACCGATATAACTCAGGTCATCAAATAAAACTTACTGACAAATGAGAACTCATTAAAAAGAAAGTTTGAAGCATTTTAGACTTGTCCAAAGTTTATGAGTTTTGGTCATCTAAAAATTGCGATTTTTATTTCACTGGTACCGTTTTAGTCAGTTTAGCCTCATGACAAAGAGGAAAGGAAGAAAGACGAGGTGGGAGATTCCCTCTGTAACACTAGCCTTAGAAACTGTCTACTGTATCTGTTCTACATTCACATCCTTTCCGTTCACTTCAGTGGCTTCCTTAAAAGTACTTTCCTTGTAGAGAGCCACAGGGGAGGGGCCTGAATGGAAGAAGATTTCAGTGTAGGAGATGCAGAGAGCTGAGAGTACCTCGCAGGAAGTTCCGCCTCTTCCTGCCCAGGAAGCGTTTGAAGATGGAGAGGTGGGGGTCCTCTTCTTGGTACCTCAAGGAACGCCAGTCAAAGCTAGATGTAGTAGGGTTCAGAGCCAAATGAGAATAGATCCTCCAACCCCCCACCTCTGAGTAATGGTCCTGAGGAGATGTAGGGCTGGTTCCAACGTTTTGGGAGCTGATTTCAATGCCTAAACACAGATTCCCCTCAAAGTAGTCAGCCATCTTGAAGTGGGCGGCACTGCCCTTCAGTGGAGAGCATGTGGAAAGATGTTCACTTGGAAATGACAACCCTTACATAACAAAGCACATGGATGGAAAAAGCAAAACAAAACCATGTTTCATTGCAGCCCTTGCTCAATATTTTAAAGTTAATAAATTACCAAATGATACACACTTAGAGCTATGAGTATTGACACTGTATAAAAGGAAACGTACAATTTGGGGCTCACAGCTGTAGAGGGTTCGAGTCTGTGGCCATCGTGGTGGGGATCATGGCAGCAGGTAGGCAGGCAATGGTGCGAGAGCAGAAGCTGAGAGCTTGCACCTTGATTCACAAGTGCAGGGCAGAGAGAACTAACTGGGAATGGCTTTTGAAACCTCATCTCCTGCCTCCAGTGACACACCTCCTCCAACAAGACCATTCCTTCTAATCCTTCCCAGAGAGTTCCACCAACTGGGACTAAGTATTCAAATTAATGAGCCTGTTGTGGGCAGCTCATTTTTGCTTTCAGCCCTGTCATTAGAGACCAGAATTTATTCATCTGCTGTGGGGCTGGTGGGAAGGTAGACTCCTGGCATGAGACCAGCCCTTTGCTCCCTTAACCAACCCATTACTCCTGGCGCTTAAACTAATGCCAACACTTCAGACACTGATGTGGCAGTTGATCTTTAGCGAGGCCCGAGAACTGCTTTCCTACCTGCAGAATCTGGAGGAGTCTTTGTAAGCAAACTCTTAATGAAGTATGCTAACCCGGATTCAGTTACGTCCCTGTTTTTGTCTCTCCGCTAGTGGTTTCAGGCAGCCTGAACCACTTCCCGTCCTGGATGAATGAATCTAATTCCTCCATAAGGCACAGGAGTGCTTTAAGTAGCCTTCTGGTTCGTCTTCTGTTAGTTATTTTGATGAATTTCGTTACCCCCTCTGTGTGAGTCTGAAAAAAAAAACCAATGAAACCAAAGGAAAGCAAACTAGCTGTCAGTCCAGCAGGCTCATCTCACTGGGCAGATGTCATGAGACTTGGCAGTACATCTGTGTTGGAAGGTTCTCAGATCCCACCCTTAGACAGCTGGACAAGCTGCCTACATCCCAGGATCCTAGAAGTGTTACATGATTCATTCTGCCTTTCAATAAAAAAATATTAAGTCATGGCTGTCCTGCCCAATCAGAAAGCATACTGGGCCCTTTCGTCTTTCTCTGGCCCCCGTGCCATATTGCTGCTAACGTTCATTGGTGAGCCAGTGAGTTCAGAGGCAGAGTGTAAGTGGAATGATGATGTTTTCAGGCACATGAGTAGGGAGCCTCACTTGTTCCAATTCTCCACGGACAGTTCACAAGCCAAGAATAAGCCATTAAAAATATTTCCATCCTGTCTCTTCTCTGTAAGACAAAATGTTTCAATAATCTTAAAGGGGGAAAACACTGAGACCAACTAAAATGTGTGCGAGTGTGTGCATATTTCTCCCTTTTTCTACTTCCCATGTAGATTCGATCCATGTAAGTCTCTCTTAGGGTCCTCTTTGTTGTCCAGGTTCTCTAGGATTGTGAATTGTAGACTGGTTTCTCTTTGCTTTATGTCTAAAAGCCACTTAGGAGTGAGTACATATTATATTTGTCTTTCTGGGTCTGAGTTATCTCACTCAATATGATGTTTTCTAACTCCATTCATTTGCCTGTAAATTTCAAGGTGCCATTATTTTTTTTTCTGCTGTGTAGTACTCCATTGTATAAATGTACCACATCTTTATCCATTCTTCAGTCTAGGGACATTTAAGTTGTTTCCAGGTTCTGGCTGTGACAAATACATGCTGCTATGAACATAGTTGAGCACATGTCCTTGTGGTATGATTGAGCATCCTTTGGGTATATATTCAAAAGTGGTATTGCTGGGTCTTGAGGTAGGTTGTTTCCGAATTTTCTGAGAAATCGCCATACTGATTTCCAAAGCAGCTGTACAAGTTTGCACTCCCACCAGCAATGCAGGAGTGTTCTTTTTACCCAACAACCTCTCCAACATAAACTGTCATCAGCGTTTTTGATCTTGATCATTCTTCCAGGTGTAAGAAGGAATCTCAGAGTTGTTTTGATTTGCATTTCTCTGATGACTAAGGATGTTGAACATGTTCTTAAATGTCTTTCAGCCATTTTAGATTCATCTGTTGAGAGTTCTCTGTTTAGATCTGTACCCCATTTTTATTGGATTATTTGTTCTTTTGATGATCAACTTCTTGAGTTCTTTGTATATTTTGGAGATCAATACTCTGTCCAATGTGGGGTTGGTGAATATCTTTTCCAATTCTGTAGGCTGCCATTTTGTCTTGTTGATTGTGTGTTCTTTGCTTTATAAAAGCTTCTCAGTTTCAGGAGGTCCCATTTGTTAATTATTGCTCTCAGTGTCTGTGCTACTGGGGTTATATTTAGGAAGTGGTCTCCTGTGCCAATGCATTCAAAAATACTTCCCACTTTCTCTTCTATAAGGCTCAGTGAGGTTGATTTTATGTTTAGGTCTTTGATCCATTTGGACTTGAGTTTTGTGCATGGTGATAGACATGGATCTATTTTTGTTCTTCTACATGTTGATATCCAGTTAAGGCAGCACCATTTGTTGGATATACTTTCTTTTTTTCATTTGATAATTTTTGCTTCTTTGTCAAAAATCAGGTGTTCAAAAGTGTGTGGATTGATATCTGGATCTTCTATTCGGTTCCATTAGTCCTCCTGTCTGTTCTTAAGCCAATACCAGGCTGTTTTCAGTACTGTAGCTCTGTAGTTGAGTTTTAAGTCAGGGATTGTGATGCTTCCAGAAGCTCCTTTATTGTACAGGATTGTTTTGACTATCCTGGGTTTTTTGCTTTTCCATATGAAGTTGATTATTGTTCTTTAAATGTCTGTGAAGAATTTTGCTGAGATTTTAATGGGCATTGCATTGAATCTGTAGATTGCTTTTGGTAAGATTGTCATTTTTACTATGTTAATTCTACCTACCCAAGCATGGGAGATCTTTCCACTTTCTGGTGTCTTCTTCAATTTCTTCTTCAAAGTTTTAAAGTTCTTGTCATGGGTCTTCCACTTGTTTGGCTAGAGTTACTCCAAGATATTTTGTTATTGGTGGTTATTGTGAAGGGTGATGTTTCTCTGATTTCTTTCTCAGCCCATTTATGATCTGTATAAAGGAGGGCTACTCATTTTTTTAAATTAATCTTGTATCTTGCTACTGAAGGTATTTATGAGTTGTAGAAGTTCCTTGATAGATTTTTTGGAGTCACTTATTTAAATTATTATATCATCAGCAAATAGTGAGAGTTTGAGTTCTTCTTTTTCGTTTTGTATCCCCTTGATCTCCCTTTGGTGTCTTATTGCTGTAGCTAGGACCTCAGAAACTATTTTGAGTAGATATAGGGAGAGTGGGCAACCTTTTCTTGTTCCTGATTTCAGTCATATAGCTTTGAGTTTCTCTCCATTTAGTTTGATATTGGCTGTTGGCTTGCTGTATTTTGCCTTTATTATGTTTAGGTATGTTCTTTGTATCCCTGTTCTCTCCAAGACCTTTATCATGAATGGATATTGTATTTAGTCAAAAAATACATTTTCAATAAAAAAATTTCTTCTGTCTAGACTTTTGCCCTGACCAATGAAGTTGACATTTAAATCCACCGGTTGAATCAGAATGCACATGGGGTTTAATACT